AAGCAAAAACTTATTGAGTTCGGATCATACAATACTCGAGTCATCTACAACCAGATCCTCATTAAATAGATCCCCATTAAATAGATCCCCAATACTTCTCTCTTTATGTAACACAATAAAGAACACACTTTGGGGTTAAGATTTCTAAATTTCGTTATCACCAATACATCCCGAACAATTCTCTTAAATTCTCACAATAATGACCACACTTGAGGAGTTAAAATTTCTAAATATCGATATCATCACTACTTTTTTTTTCTCGATAACCCATAGAGTAACACAAAATGCCATTTAGGACCCAATTGACCAAAATTTGATAACTTCATATGGGTTTCTTATGCAGCTTTGAAATATTAATGCTTTCAACTGACATATCAATTAAACTACATGAGCATCAAAAAAAAAAAAAAAAAATTACTGCAAATTCCTACAATACAACAATTTGAGAAGCACATGAAGAAACAAAGTATAACTCACAATTTTTCCAAGAGCATATCGGTCATTTCGATCCGATACGGATCGTTCGGGTTCAACTGCTTCAATATGTTCACCAGCTTGTGCACCATCCGGCACAAACCTGAGTACCTATTTTCCAATTTTTCAAAATTTTAATTGGAAAGGAACAAAACCCAGTTAATCGAAAGATTAATCGACTGATAAAACCTGAAAAGTGACATGAAATTAAGGGAAAAAAAAATTGTAATTTTACTTTTTGTATTCGTCGCGACCGGTGACATGGTAACGCTGCAGAACCTGAGTTTCTCTGTGACCTTCTTCTCTCTTCCATTCCAAGAAGTTCACTTTCTTCAGCAGCTTCTTCTCATGAAACTTGAGCTCTCTCTTGGTTGCTTTTCCGCAGAGGGGGATGAAAGAGCAAAAACCCCAGGTGGAGGGAAAAAGGGGTAGAAGTGTTGCAAAAGCCCTAGATTGGAACAAAACGTACCGTTTCGCTCTCCCGTTTGAATAACTCAAACCTTTTTTGATCGAAAGCCCTTGTGCATTTATGCTTATGATAAAAAGTTAAAATTAGAGAGTATTAACGAAATACTTCTAGTACTATTCACTTTTAACGTTAAGGCATTTTTACTCTTAAAAGTCACTTCTAGTACTTTTCACTTACAACATTTTTTTGTCATTTTCGTTAAAACTCAAAGTTTTCAAACATTTTTCATTAGTTTTGCTTAATTAGTCTTATTTATTGAATTTTTTTTAGCTTCAAGCTTAAGAAGTGCTTTTGGTACTCAATAAATGATAAAACTGCGTCCAAATGACTTAATTCACGAGAAAGTTTTTTTTTTTATAATATTTTTTTTTACTTCACTTGCAAAAGATCATGCGAAAACTTAACAATCACATAATTTACAGTTTCTAATTGATTTTCATAATTTTTTTTATTTAAAAACCATCATAAGGCTTACTTTTTACGTGACATTTCCAGCACAAGAAGTTTCTTTATGTTCGTACATGCCGCAAATGGCCCTTTATCACAGTGATGGAAATGTGTTAAGTTTTTACATAATGGTGTGGATTCAAACTCCGTCGGTGATTAATCTAACATTTAGTCTAACAAAATTTATTGTTTGACAAAAAAAAAAAAAAAAAAAAAAAAGAGAAGAAAAAGAAAAAAATTCGTACATTCCAAATTGAGGAGAAAAACAAAATCTTTATCAAATGAGTACATCGTAACTATAATATTTCGTATCAATAATGCTTCGTATCAATAATGCAATAATACAATGTTATATTATTGACATTGAACACAATGGTGCACTGGTACCATGGAAATTGCTCTTAAGAATAAGGGATGAGCAACTGAGCAGACTCAACTGAACTAAACATATATAAATATATAGGTGTTCAGTCCGTGGGTGATAATGCATCGGAGGAGGATTCTCTATCCTACTAATCTCTCTATCCTTTCATGCTCTCCTATTTGAACGGTCACGGTTAAACCACGTCAACATCTTATATTGATTTTTTTATAGAGATAATAAAACAAAAAGCAATGTCTAAGAGGAAGGGATGGAAGAGGATAAGAAAATGAAGGTCGAGAATCCTTTACAGTTACATGCTTAGTTTTACGGTGAAAGTTCATTGTTTGCCCAACACTCAGATGAGATGAGGCCAAAAGTGACTGATGAGTGTGGAACAACATTGCACAACCATCTCAACTACTACTTAAAGTTTATTTAGCATCACTTTTAAACTAATTGAAAGCGTTTCTGGTAAAAATATTTTTAGAATTAATCCTTAATAAAAATGCAATTGAATTCTCGAAAAACACTTCAAGTGCTTCTTGAAAGAAGCATCAGTTATATTATTTCTTCACTTCAAGTGTTTTTAAAACCTAAAAATATTTTTCCTAAAAATACCTTTCAAACGAACACTTAATATTTAAACACACTCTATACATGAGCTATATCAGTTAATCAACGTTGTGCGCCTTTTATTGCACCCGTGTTTAAATCGTCTTTCCCGTTGTTATAATAAGTTAGAATATCGCTTTCTCATAAATTATTGAATATTTGTTGCATTTTTCAGACCAATTGACATTGAAAAACCAAATTGGTCTGTCAAATGACTGATAGATATCACGGGGATTTGTCACAATTGCAAACGCCAAAACTTCTCTGTCTAAGCAAAACATGAGCACAAACAGTCACAGGACTCCCACTGACTTAAAAGAAATAAATAACAAGGCAATTGGCTACTTTCTTTGACGAAATTAACTTCTCTCCTCAATTGATGAGGCTGAGTTTATCCTCAAAGTACTTTGGGACTGATTCACGAAATTTCGTATTTTTATCAAAATTATTTATACACAAATTATTTTATAAAAGATTATTTCTTTAAAAATTATTAATATATAAAATTATTTGATCATCGAATTGTATAAAAATAAAATAAATAGACAAATTCGGCTAAAGTATTATGACCGTCAATCTATTTACTACAGTTGATTAACTAAACAACTTTAGTTTTAATTAGTCTTTTTTTTTCATAGATGATCTTTATATGAACTATTTCGATAATAACCACGAAGTTATGTGAATCGAACACAAAATGTTTTGAGAAGAAATTTCTTTTCAACTTTAAGGAGCCAAGTATTATTCTGTAATGTGGTTACGATTAAGCCACGTTAATATTTTATATTAATTTTTTATAAAAAAGTAATAGGAATATAAAATATTAACGTGACTTAACCGTGACCACACAAACAAAAAAGTATATTAAGAAGTATGAAAATAAGAGGGCAAACAATCCACCTTCTATTCGAATTACCCATTCCCAACAACCTTTTTAAGCCAAAAACCCAAAAACTGTCATATACAAAAACTTGTTCCCGTTTAATATCCATATATAATATATAATATATGTGGTGGCAGGGCAGTGGTCAGGCACTGCAACCACTAAATAAAGTTCTGCATATTGCCCCATCACTGTTTGCAGGTTGCAACCACTAAGTTAAACCTTCCTTTGCCCATCACTAATGTAATGCTGAGCAACAAAATACAACTCTAACCACTCAATTGAACTTTCTGGTTTTCTTTTTTATATTATAAATTTTTATTTCACACTTGTAAAAACTTACTAATGTTAGATTCGGTGATGCTATCCCATGCTATTTTTATTTTCACACACTCTTCTTAATTTTTACCTGTCGAATTGAAAAATTGAAACGAATCAAATGATAAAAATTAACAAAAGTGTGTAAAAGATAATAAAAAAAATGTGCAGATAGCATCACCCTATTAAAGTCTGTATACCTATTACATTACCACAAATACATGAGCAAACAAAAAGGTCCGAAATCAATAGACGACTGTACCTTTTAACTCACAATAATTGTCTTTGAATATGTTTCCATGAAGCTATATGGTATGTAGTTGAGTTTCCTTTAAGTCTTGTTTGGTATTGCTGTAAAACAATACTTTTGCTGTACTGTGAGAATAAATAGTTATAAAATAAAGTAGTATTTGAGTGTTTGATAAATTTTTATATAAAATTGTTGTGACCATGGTAAATGACTAAAATGAGTATGATGTTGGATGTGATATTAAACGAAGACGCCGAATAGAGTAAAGTAGGGTAAAAGTTTGTAATTTTGTAAAATATGCAGGATTATGCTTGTCATTTGAAAATTTTATTAAAGATCACCATTTTGAAAACAAAAAACACTGTTTTGAAAAGCATGAAAAGTTATGTTTATGCTTTTCTATGTTTTTTTTGCTGTAATTGACAGCAAACCAAACACATTCGATATCCCAAACTTTTTTATAAACTGCTTTTAAAATAATATAAGCAATCCCAAACTAGATAAATTTCCTACTTAGCAGTTGCTAATGTGTATGGAAAATCTCTTGTGAGTTAAATGTCAAAACCAATAAAATGAAAGAAAGAGCAAAAACGATACTCCTCAATGCAACCATTTTACGACAATGGAAACTACACCTACCTAACCCAACCAAATTACGGATGGATGTTTTTTGAGTGTCATTGAATGTATAAGCTCTGACATAAAGTTGGTTTTCTCTAAATTAACAAGGAATAAAAAAAAAAAGTTTTTATTTTTTAATATGATATAAATATATTTTTGACGCCAAAATATGAGAAATTTTAACTAAACCGCACACCAGACAATATATTATAATTTAGTATTGAACTCGTTATCCATAAGAGTTAATTATAAGAACTCTTATTCACAATTGAAAGATGTATACCACTAGAAACTATTTAATTTTGTTTTGACAAAAACAATAAAAAAACCAAATTACTTTGGTCGTACGGCAATACACCTACAAGTCTGCAAGTGAGTAGATTATCCATTAATTTTAGTGCAAAAAATGAAACAAAATAAGGTGACTTGTAACTATATTCTGGTTACAAAAACAAAATCCACTTCCCAATCAACTAAAATCTAAAAAAATAAAAATAAAAGATTGTAGTCTCAGTCTTTCAAATAAATCATAATTATGTAAATAAATACAACAAATAAATGAATACAATGGGGATAAAAAGCTGAGCAGAATTATATTTCCATTTAGTGTTCTACTTTTGCTTTGTCTGCTATGAACGCTTTCTCTCCAGCCTCGATTGTCGCCTTTTTTTCTGTTTCAGTTTCTCATTGAACCTTCTACGACTCTCTTTCCAACAGCCACATTCTTCAAATTTTCCGGCGGCCCTCGCCGGATTCTTGGCCGGAATATCGCTGGTAAAGCAAAGAACAACACGAAGTGAGTATTGGGTTCGTGGAGATTGATCATAAAGTTGCATTCTTTGAACTCTTTCGAGAATTTTACGGTTTTTCCTCTCTGGTTTTTGATTGGTGAAGCTTTTCAACAATGGCGGAAACTTCATAGCTGTACGAGGTGAAAAGGGTTTTTGGGGTGATTCGAAGTAAAAATCTGAGAGTTGGGTTTTGATTATTTTAGTGCCGGACTTCACCAGAAACACAGAAACAAGATAGTTTTAATCTTTTTTTTTTTTTTAAATTTTTTTTTTTAAATTTATATCGAGGTGTTTCGGATATGTCAATTACTATTGGATCTTCCATTGACATTTATCTGTGAAAGATTCTGTGTTGAATTGCAACAACTCTGGTGTGATCAGTTGAAAAATTGAACGAGTTTTTAAGACCGTTAAAATGTGCAAAGGTGAGGACTTTGAGAAGTGTGATTACAGAGAAACAATGAAGGTGGGATTTAAGCTGATGGGGAGAGTTGAAAGGTTGAAAAGCTCAGTGTTGAAGGTGAACTCATGGCTGCTGATCATCCGGGCGATCGTGACGGCGTTGGTGTGGGCGTCGGCGGTGCAGCTGGTTGGGATTTGGTTGATTAGGGGGCCTAGTTTGTTCAATGTTTGGCCCCCTTGCACCCACTTGGAATTGCCTGCTCATGCTGTAGAATTGGTTAATAAACTTCCAATGCCAATTGTTCTCCCACCAAAGAGTAAGTTTCTGATCTTGTTTAATGTAAATCTTGATCGCTTTTGTAATTAATATTTCCGCGCACACATGATCATTTATCCTTTGATTCATTCAATACAAAGATTAGAAGTAAACAGGTTGTGCAGGGCGAGAAAAAATGTGTGCAGAAATCTTTCCCCTTAGAGAGCTGATATGTTTGAATTGCCATTCTTTGATATCATGTTAATCAGCTGCTGTGCATGTTAATTTGCTTGGCTCAATAAAATTTGAGATTTTTCAATATTGTTTGTTAGTTCTGAATCGCTTTAATTCCAGGGGTTTACAAAAACAATGGCTATCTCATGGTTTCTTGCAATGGAGGACTGAATCAAATGCGAGCGGCAGTGAGTTCTAGCCACTTCCTCACAATTCTGGACATTCTTACCTTCAGTTTAGATGTTTTATTGGGGTTGTCTCCCGCCACCATGTTATTTTACTGACTACTTGATTTTACGCAGATCTGTGATATGGTTGCAGTTGCCAGATACTTGAATGTCACCCTTATAGTTCCTGAGCTGGATAAAAACTCCTTTTGGGCTGCGAGGTAGGTCAATTTGTTTTCGAGTAAAGATTATGAGGAATCGATATTCTCATTGTAAATTCCTTGATCTGAATAAGGAAAATTCTCAGTTCTAAGTGTGTCCCCTTGTGTTGGCAGTGAGTTTCAGGACATTTTCGATGTTGATCATTTCATTGCATCGTTGAGAGACGAGGTTCGGATATTGAGGAAATTGCCACCAAAGCTCAAGAAAAGACCTGCATACTCGTTGCCACCAGTTAGTTGGTCTAACATGTCCTACTACCTTCATCAGGTTGGTTCGAATCCAAGCATCATTCTCTTTCCTTTTCAGTTTATATGATCATTCTCAGCAGTTGAACTAACTTCTGGAAGTGTTTTCCAACAGATCCTGCCTCTGGTGCAGAAGTATAAAGTAGTACATTTGAATAAAACCGATGCTCGAGTAGCTAACAATGGGCTACCTCTGGAGTTCCAGAAGCTGCGCTGCAGGGTTAATTTCCATGCTCTGAGATTCACTTCCCAGATAGAGGAAGTTGGTAGAAAGCTTGTCGGAATTTTGAGAGAAAAAGGCCCTTTTCTGGCTCTTCATCTCCGATACGAAATGGATATGTTGGCATTCTCTGGCTGCAGTCATGGTTGCAGCAATGATGAGGTAGAAGAACTCACAAGAATGAGGTAACAGTCCTTTTTCATTTTGTTTCTTTTTGCTCATTGATATTTACTAGTTTTTTGCTTATAAACATCTTGTAATTATGGGATTATTACACGTTGTTAGATATGCTAATCCCTTGTGGAAGATAAAAGACATAAATTCCGAAACAAAGAGGCTAGAAGGTTTGTGCCCACTAACACCAGAGGAAACTGCTCTAGTATTGGTTGCACTTGGTATTGATCACAATGTCCAGATTTATATTGCCGCTGGAGAAATGTATGGTGGAAACAGAAGGATGGAAGGTTTAAAAGCTGCTTTTCCGAATTTGGTAAGTAGAAGGGAGAAGAAGCAACCTTTTCAACAATTATACATCATAGGACTGACATAACAGTTGAACTTTTGTGCAACAGGTCAGAAAAGAGACGCTGCTGGAGCCTTCGGATTTGAGGTTCTTCCCGAACCACTCTTCCCAAATGGCAGCATTGGACTATCTAGTCTCCCTAGAGAGTGATATATTTATTCCTACATACGATGGAAACATGGCTAAAGTTGTCGAAGGCCATCGCAGGTAAATGCATGTTCAATCTTTTGAATAACCTAGTGCTTTTTTCAAATCCCAATCTCCGTAGATTACAATAGTTCAGAACATCGTCAAACCTAGTGCTCTTCGGTTTTTAGGAAGATAAGATAAGATCTGTTGTTAATTTCAGATGATATTCTGATCCGAAATGTACGCTTCTCCTCGGATTTTTCTTGTTTCAGATTCTTAGGTTTCAAAAAGACAGTTTTATTGGACAGAAGGCTACTGATTGGATTAATAGAACAATTCAGCACTGGCTCATTGAGTTGGGATGAGTTCTCTTACATTGTGAAGGAAGCTCACGCCAAGCGAATGGGGAGCCCGAAGCAGCGAGTTTTGATCCCAGATAAACCCAAGGAGGAAGATTACTTCTACTCAAATCCACATGAATGTTTGCAACTGTTAGATGGACCCTTGAGAACCGCATGATCTTCGCATGCCAAAAATATGGGATTATTGTCTTCTAAATTATATGCATTTTGTGCCATTGAGAATTTTACAGGCAGTGGTTTACTTTATGATTGTGGTCTAAGTTAATACAGCAAGGGATAGGTTTAATTTACATAAAATTGGGTTGGGAGGTTGATCTTGGAGGCTCTGCTTTGGGAAGGACTTAGAACACTAGTTTGTAGTTTTCAGAGTGCATGTAAGTCTCTCTCCTGCGAGAGCTCTTGATCAAAAGCATTTGGGAAGATATATAGAATTTTCATTAATAAATCAAGTTTTATGGAGAGAACTCCAAATAAGATCATTGTAATTAAACAAGGGGGAATATAGTGTATTTTCCTCAAAATCTCTCTCCTATACTAGTGTAAGCATAATTTTTTTAACAAATATTCACCTATCTTTCTCTCTCTAAATTAATCCAGGGTTGATGGAATTGAGATTCTCTCCTAATCTTTGTTCGAAGTTCGCGGACCAAGAGATCCGGACCCCTCATTTAAAATCTTATAGCCTCAATTTGTCCATACTGCTAGCTCATCTCATAAACAAGAATCCAAATTTCTCTCCTCTTTTAACGACCCAAATTTTTGAGCACGTGAACTTTGTACCTGAAATCTGAAGAGGGTCTCAATTCGTGTTGATGAACTAATCAATGATCATACCATCTGAATGATGCTGGTTCCATGAGAAAATAATTAACAAAAACTTCAATTACTTTTGGGATAAAATATAAAAAAGTTAACTTGAAGAATTAGGCATGCCTAAACTAGTAAGATTGGTGGGGCCAAAAGTCTCAAATGATGACAGCAGCATGGCATCTGGAAAGCTGATGTTTAAGGTGTGGGGTTTGGGCAAATAATCCGCATCATTTCATGTCCTTAATTACTAATTAGTTAAGGAGTTGGCACCGAACCTTGTTTCCTCCTTCGTTGTTTAGTTTTTCGGTTATACATTTGGTTGTTTAGTTGCCATCAAATAAAATATATGCATTATTGTAGAAGTTAGAGTGCACCAACTCCATGCTTCTATCATATGAACAGATATGAAGAATTTTTCTGTAACGAAACATCATTGTAGTTGTATCTTAAGACAATTATAGAATAGTTAAAACGTTGCACTGTATGATTGGCTTACCATACAGCTAAAAACATGAGAGTGTATGATTAGCTTGAAATACTATCACAGAGCATCTCAGTGTAAGTTTTCTCTAAGCAAATGTTCTTTTTAACACATCATTTTGCGGGTTTTAGTCTGAACCGTCTTATATCATGAACCGAGATCTAAGATTGTTGGATGTTTAATCGTTAAATTTGTAACTAAGAATTCAACGGTTATGAATCTCAGTATATGGTATGATCCGGTCCATTCTAGAGTCTTCTTTTAATTTGGATTTAGAGAGAGTGAAGAATAAAGAAACTATGTTGGTTGAAATGAGTGATCCAAGAAAACTTGCTGTTGTTTTTCTACTTGTAGTCTTCCACTAACAAGGGAGTAATTTATGCACTTTAATTTAAACGTAGCTTTCAATGCAAACTGAGACAACAACTTCCAACGACAAAAAACGACTCAAACTTTAAAGTCGTTCAACTCATCAATGGATTTTGACCCATTTAAACTACAAGGACCCATTTGTCACATGAATCCACTCTTTGATTACTTCACATATTGATTAGGTTGCAGATTTAATTAACTAATTTTGAGTATTGGGGATTGGAGATAGAAAATTTCAAAAACATGTAGAATATTTATATGTATTTAATACATTTATTAGTTGACGGTTAAATATAATTTGTGTCAATATACATACAGTTGAGAATGTGATTTTATTAAATACATGTAAGTATTGTAGTCAAATAAAATAAAATTTCAATCAAGTTATACTTTTGTATGACTGAAAGGGGTTTTAGAGAGAATTATTTTGAGTTTCAAAAGCACTTGAAGTGCTTTCTGCTTGCAGCACTAATTATGTGCTTTTTGCAGGAAGCAATTCAAGTGTTTTTTCACGATTTATTTGTATTTTTACTAAGAATTGGTAAAAAAAATATTTCACCAAAAGCATTTCCAATCGTTTTAAAAACACTTCCAAATAAGTTCATAAGCATGTCAAATTTATTTAATTAATCTTTGTTTCCTGTGAAAATATTTTTGAAGTGGTTCCTTTGCATTTTTAATTTTCTATGCACACACACACAAGTGCTTTAGTTGTTTGAAAGCTCTCAAACGGGCTTTTGTTATAAGCAAGTACAACACAACTTTTATTAAAAACCCAGTGTTTTGATAGTCTTTTGAGTTTTTCTGTCAAACTCTCACAAAATGGCTTCCAGGCATGAGAATGGCTTTCGGTTTACCAAAAAGCACTTTCACCCTTTCTTAATCCGACCGAGATATGGTAAATGAGTGGCATCACACAAACAAATCAACGAAACATCAAGGATTAACGATAAAATTCATGTATGTAGAGAGTTCTTTAAAACGCAGACCAGAACAGAAACCCGCTCCTCGCTATATGCATGGAATCATCCATCTGAAACTTCAAGGTATCAACAAAAGAACATCTGACAATCTATCTATGAAATTCCATGCACAGGGGGGCACAAACCATATACAATTGACTGACCTGAACCTAGTTGTTCTGTTTACCATGTAATCTTTGAAACAAAATGTCACCCGCCCACGAGCACCCTCACCCCCAATAAAACCACGAAAACCAAAAATAAGCAGATTTAAGAAAAGCTAGAAACTATCTAGTCTAGCTTTCTCTTGTTCTGAACCGCTTATGCGCCAGTTCAAGTCCCCCATCACAGCTACTTACTTGAGCCGTGTCATCATTTGATTGTTCATGGATTGGTTCACATGTGCCTGTGCAAACAAATATAAAGTGAGGGAAAGATTGTAGACAGCTATCGGTAACAGATGTAGCAGCCAAAGTAACAATGGGGTTTAATACGATGGATGAAGATCCTAAACGAACCTTTGAACTAGACGCTACAGATGTCAGCCCACTGTCTGCTCGATTCACAACATCCATTTGAACAGAGATGCTGGCCAGGGACAAGTCCAGACCAGCAGATTGCAATGCCTGCGTCAGATTGTTCAAAACCCTGCGCAACACAAACCCAACTCAGAAACAGCGCAGTGATACATTTCCATAAGGAAATTTGTTATAACAATTTTGTTATACATCAATCAACTATATTTTCATGTCTCTAATGGCAACACTTTCAAATTTATAAAATATCTACCTAGAAGAAGCACTCTTGCCATAGAAAACGATCCGGGAAACTTACAAAGACAATATGCGCATAATTAATCAATAATGGCTATGCACCATGCATGTAGTTTATCAAAACCACTGTACCAAAAATAACAGCTCAGAAAACAAGCTTGACAATAAAACATGGCTGCTACTCCAAGAAAATAAGCATGTTAACAAAAACTTGGCAGCTGTACAATAAAGTTAACGAGAGATCTTCGTGGGAACTCACCCTTGAGAGTAAGCACTTGAGGTGCTACCAGATCCACTATGTTCATCCTGTTTGTTCAGTTTACCATCTGATACGGTTGAAGATGTTATACCCGCCCACGATGGGAATTGGGGTTGACAAGCCATGTTCTGAGCATCAGTAATAGATTCCTGCAAGGGCTGTGTGGGTACTCCACTCCCAACAGAGTCAAAGATGCTTTGTTGTTGCACATTAGGCACTGATTGAGTAGCTAGCCCAGCGATGTGATCCAGTGCTTTGTAAGCAACAGCAGAGCCCAAGTTAGATTCCACTGAGTTTTGAGAGTTTGGGAGCATTGCTGGTGAGACAACCACATTATTCTCATGATCCGAACCATCGTTCATAACTTGAGACTGATCTGCGAAATTTTCTCCAGACCTGTTATGACCTTTCTGTGGCAAACAAATAAATGGGAGGTCGGTAAGTCTCTGCAGGGCAAAATATATAGGGTCAGAGTTATCTCTGGTAAGATTTTGTTCTCCCAGTAACAGTAAAAGAGCCTCTCTGCCTGGATATGGGTGCATGTTGCAATTGTTGTGTGTGGTGTTGGTCTCATGCACCATATACATGTCATTATTTAAGGGTACAACAGATATCCAATGCACGTACTCATGCCCTCTAGCATCCAAAACAAGTACTTTCACTTTTTTCAGGCATCGAAGTAACACCAATAGAAATTGACAATGCAATACAAAGGTGATAAAGAGTTGAGTCCAACACCATAACACATGCAAGCAAACACTACTGCACACTAAGACACAGATATGAAGCATTAGAATTTTACCCATGGCACCAGTTTTGTTGGCTCTGGACTCCATCCTTGGTACGACCCCTCATACAAATTTACCTTCTCCTGTAAAAATTGTATATACTCTATAACCTGCAAATAGGTACAGTAATATTTCAACATGGTGCTGAACACATTCAACCAAAATAAAATGACAATGAGGATAAAATATTACGAACATGATTGGAATGCTTACCTCCAACAACAATGAAGCCTTATCTCTTTTCTGATCATTTTGGGGAATGATATCTCTCAACATCTGAAATCTGCCTCAGAAATACATATTGCCCAGGTGAGTGACGAGTTTATGCCCATGCTACTAGAACTAAAACACCCACATGGCATAAACAGCAGCAAAGAAAGATACAAAAGTATTTAAAGGACAAAACTTCCACACGACTAACAATCTAACCAAACATGAGAACAAGATGGGAGGGAAGACTGCAATTAAAATTCAACACAAATGAATAAGCATTTGGTACTCGATACTCAAATTTGCTAACTAGCATGAATAATTCGCAAATTCAGTTTCAGATAGCCAAATAGGCATGGAGATTGTTTGCCTAGAAGCTCCAACATTTTGAAGAATTTGGTAATCGTAAAGTTTCGATTTTTAAGAAAAAAAATTCACTTCACTTTAATTCAACACCTCATAATTTGAGTATAACATCAACAGAAATATACTCTCAACTTTTCCAGAAGATACATTGTGGCAATTCCCTCTACTTATTCGAATCAGAAATTTTTCGAGTTCAGGCAACACGGAAAATCGAATACTATAAACCATAATTGAAAAGGAACAATTAAAGGAGTGTTTGAATTAAAAAAAAGGGTAAAGCTTTGGGCTTGGAGAGCTTGCCTCTCATTAATCTTGCTCCTCCTACGCTGCTCGGTTTCGGAATGCTTGGAGCGGTTCTTCTCCCTGCCTTGCCCTTCTATCTTCACTGCAAATTCCCCTATCAACTCCTCGTTAGCTTCATCCACTCCCCAGTTACTATTATTTTTTAAATAAAATAAAAATTCTTCATTTTTTTCAAAAATAAAATAAAAACCAAGGCAGTCACTACTAGCCTAGCTCACAGAGAGAGAGAGAGAGAGAGAGAGAAACCTGCATGAGATACCTCATCTTCGTCTTCAAATTCATCGTGGTGGCCCTTCGAAGGTTTCGCCATTTCCGGCTGCCAAACAATAAATAAATTTCCCAAAATTACATAAATAAATAAATAAATGAACAAAAAACGAAGCCAATTTTACAGAGAGAGTGAGTACTGAGGAACTCGGAGGAGGGCGCGGTGAGAGAGTGAGAGGTGGCGGTGGCGATGGTGGAAATGCGGAGGTCCGGGACCAAGGTGGGCGCCCGAATTGGGTCCGACGGAGCTGGAAATAGCGGAAAAAGGGTCTGGTGTTGGTGGTGGAGCTTTTGTGCCGGTTTGTGGTGATGTGTTGTCGTTTTGGGGTTTTTGTTTCTGCGACAACGTTACAGTAAGACAACCCTGAAAATTTGGAGCCCTAGGTGGCGGCTCCTACTCTTTCCATTCCTAAATCATTAATTTTTTAAAATTGAGACCTTATTATTAATTAAATTATTAAATGTTTTAATCTTAATTATTCTCACAATTAATATTAATTTATTAATTAAATTCATTCTTATCGTGGCCGCCCTTATGTATACCGTGAGCCGCCCGCCATCGCGCCTAATTGGTCCTAATTTGTTTTATATTGCATGCGTGATAACGGGTAGAGATGAAATTTTTTGTCAAATTATCATATCAATCGTACCATATCAAAGTTGTGCCAAAATATTTGTACCATTGTTAATGGTACGATATTTGTACTGTACTATACATTTTTGATATGCTAATGGTATTAAAAACCATTATTAGTGGTATACAATGCCGTACCACTATTATTAATATTATATAATTTATTTATTCATTTATATATAATTACGTATTACTATTATTATATATGCACTTTATATATATATATATATATATTTTTTTTTTCTTTCTAGTCATTTATCCAATCATCTCATCCTCTAACTTTTATTTTCCCTATAAAAAAAACCTAAGCATTCTTGCGATGCGACTCTTTATCTTTTCACTCATCTTGCCACCGACTTCATCTTTGTTGCTCCAGTTTCAGTGACTCTCTCTCTCCAAAGTCCATCTCATCTTCTCCTTCATCAAATTGTGATGGCTTTCTCCATGGCTTCGTCTATCAAGTTAATTTTTGTACAATTTTAAAGAATGTAGAGATGAAATTTTGGAATCTTTGGACTATTTTTTTTAGGAATATTGGTTTGTATCAGCCGAACCTCACGGGTTTTCTTTTCATTTCATTTTTCATTTTGTTTTTTTTTCTATTTAATTAAGGTAAAGGCTTAATTAAAAAATTAATTTTGTTTTTCTAATTTACATGTCATTATAACATTGGAGTGGGGGACCATAATGTGCCACATCAGCATAGTAACAGATTTTTTAACGGAACTCAAACGAAAGGACGACATTCAATTGCACCAACTATTTTCAGAGACGACATTGATTGATTTTCAACTTCAGGGACCATCTTGATGGTGTAAGTCAATTTCAGGAACTATTTGTGATAAAAAAAAAAAAAACCATTTTTTTAATGATACAAGTGATGTTGGGAATGGAGGAGTGGAGAAATGACTATTCAAGTATAAAAATGAATGTTATTAACTAACCGAGCTTCAAGTACTTTACCATGTTTTCATATAACTAAAAGGTGATCATTTGAGATAATATTTTACATTAATCTTATTCTTCCTACATCAATAGTGCGACAGTTGATGCGGTTCATTACATATCTCACATAATTCCTCCAGCATTGGATCATAACAACGGGAAATAATTACCACACATTGTTTTTCTCTCATACACACTTTTGTTTAATCTTGTCCAGAAAAAAAAAAAAAAAGTGTGTTGTTATCCCTTCACATAACAATTAACTTCCAAAAGATCTCTTAGGCTTCAAGTGAGAGATTCATAGTACCCTTCTTCCTTGGCAATGTTTGTAACAAGTTGAGATTCATATGGTTGAGCCTTTGGCACGCCTCAAGTTCAAGTCCAAACTAGCCCATTCTTACTTTCTGGGCAGATGAGAAGTGCTTAGCAGCGGCCACATTCCACGCCTCCGGTCCATCCTCCCGCCTTCCGCTCCTCGAACGCATCGTCTCTCCACCAAAGCAACCGGACAACAACCCCAACAAGGACATGAACGAACTCGCCGTATTCTTACTCATGATTCTGATCTTAACTTGGTCTGAAAAGAGGCTTTCAAATTGGAGAAGTAGAAGGAAATGAATAATATTCAACAAGGAAGGCAAGGAGCTGATGAGATTGTTGTTTTTCCTGGTTTTGTTGCTGCTACTTGGACTTCTATCTTTGCTTTTATATAGCTTAGTATTCTTGGAGCTCAAGTTTTGACCCATGTCTCCCATATTTCTGAGCAATTTCTGGGAACCCACAGATTTTCTTGAGAGGCAAACAAAGATTAACCTACATGAGCTTTAAACCCACTTATGTATCTTTCTAAGGCCCCACGTCAACTTTGACCAAGAAAAAAAATTTGAGCAATGCGTGGAATTCATATCTGAACGAGGTGAAGAACTCCGGTACTGTGTTGCGACACGACACAAATATAACAACACACGATAGATAGACATGGTGATACCGTAAATTTAAAAAAAATAAGAAAATAGACATGGCGATTAAGATATAATAAATTTATATTTATTAAAAACAATACACATCCAATTAAATAAATCAACTTATTCACACCCAATCAAATTAATCAACCTCTACTTTTTTGCGATAGACAATTGTCAATAAAAATTTCAAAATACACCTTTAACCAAAATATGGACTGGAGTCCAACAGTTCTGATATTTACAAAACTGCCCCCAAACTTATAAACTTTAGGTTTTTCAAGTTGTGATATTACAGAACTGCCCTCATAATATTTTATATTTACAAAACTGGCCCCAAAATGTCTTTATATTTCCAAAACTGCCTCACAATCTTTTTTTAAATTTACCAAAAAGCTCATGCCGTGTCCAAGGGGCGTGTCGGCATGTCAGAGTGTCCGACATTCTTGGTACTTCGAGGTTTCAGAGTGTTCGTGCAACCTATCTTGTGTAAGAACATAAGACCTTATGTATTTTAATCTCCCCCGACTACACATTGATTTCACCTGGTTTGAAAGTTGTCCCGGTTCAGACGTCCCTGCACAAGTTTTTTCTCTCGAATGAGTAGAGTAGGTAGTGGTGAACACTTTCTGACAAAGATATGGAAAGAATTAATTCAAGTCTAACAAAGACATTTACCCTTCTGCTGTTGACAAACTTCGGTACTTGTATCAGTCTGAAGAAGAGTAAAAAATCTTATAGAAACTATAGAGATTTCCCGAAAGAGATAATCTAAAGCTAGAATTTCATACAGAACATATCAGCTTACATCAAAATTGGCTGTGGGGTTAAATAATGACTATAATTTACCTAAAAGAGGCGTAAACAATCCAATAGAGTTGAGTGACTGCTTCAAAGACGGCCAAATTAGTTCGGTCACTCGTGTTCTTGAACACCAGTTAGAAAACTTACATTTCCTGTTTGAAACTGGAGTTGGAGATGATTCCAAACTTGCTTGGATCATACTAATGAAGATATATTTTATGTACAGAACTGCAGACCATTGATGCGACTCAATCAGCCCGCTACCTTTCTCCACCCTCGAGCTCTTCTTGATCCTCCAACTGAGATTCTTCTTTGTTGCTTATGTCTCCGTTACCACCATCATGATCTCCGTTATTCTTCCGGAAGAACAACCCCGATGAGGTGGAGTCGTCTTCTTCTAGAGTTTCTTCATTTTCCTTGTCTTTTGATTTTGACTGCAATGTCAAGTCATTCTCCATCCAAGCAGGGCAATAGTGCACGACTCCAAGAGCAGAAAGAACTTGAGAATGACTAGGAGTTGAAGCATGAGGTGATGACGTGGCATTGATTGATTTTCCAGCAGGATCTTGCCTTAAGCAAGAACATTCCGGGACAGGATGAGAAATAAAAGACAGCGGTTTTGATCTTGCGGAAGCTTCTATTAATCCATCAACTAATCTCTTTCTCAAATGCTTGCGTACTGACACCAGCCAAGTATGGTTTGCGTGGTATAGGTGGTCATGAATTTCATCTAAAAGCTTGGCGACTTCTTTTCTGCATTCAGAAAAACACAAAATGAATTTTTGAGAAAACACAGACATTCGTCATCAAGGGAGCAACCGAATACAGCAATTTCTCAATATCTAGATACACATAGTACTTTTAGTTTGCGGTTAATGATCACAAAAAGCTGTGTATTGACCAAATTGTGCTCACTAGCCGCTCGTCGCGTCCATAAACACATCAAGCTTTGAAAGAAAAATGAAAAATAAACTACAATGCATTTAATCTAACAGCTCAAATGTTTCAAATCTCATATCCTGATCCCAATATGAGAAAATTTTACATGCATAGTTTATGTCATAAAATAACTACAAACAGTGAAAGACCTTCCATTTATTAATCATGCAAATGAGCAAACACGTATGTCCAGATAAAACTGCGTACCTGTCTGGTCTGTATGTCTTTGATTCAGCTGATTGATAGAGTCGGTGTCCCATTACCAAGCTCGCAAAATTTGGGTGTCCCTTACCATCAAAATCAAATCCAGGGATAAACACATCAGCTTCAACGCATATCACATAATCAATTGCTTCCCACAGAAGTTTATGAGCATTGGTCCTCAATTCAATAACTGTACTATCAGGCTCGTTATCACTCTCCGCTACCCAACCCCACCAACCTTCAATGTTATAGGATTTGGGCCTGGCCGGGGGTGGTGGAAGTGGGCGAGGACGAGGGCCTGCATTTTTCCATGCTTCAATTTTCATCTCTTCCTCAATCATTGGTGGACTCCTGGGATTGCGATCGACTAGGTTAGCTTCGCGACCATACATCCTACTAAGCTCCCAAGGCATGCTGAGGGAAGTCCTGTCAACGACATTTTCAAACATTGCACGAAGAGGGATCAACGTCCTTTGGCCACCAAAGATTTCTCCCCCCGAGACATATATTATTGTGTCCCACAAGTACCCATATGCACGAAGAATAATACCAATCTGTAGAAATTCAAGGAATATAGACAAAAGGTTCAATAAGACCATCTCAAAGGAGATGTCAAATCCTAAGTGGAATGTCATGTAATCAAATTTGAAGGTAAGAGCAAGCTCCAACAGATATGTCAATCTATGTGGATTGACATATGAGAAAAGGTGATGTCAATAATTTTTAATTATTTTATTGTGGGTCCCATTAATGCACCAATTATAGATCCTTGAAATTTATTTTAATTGATTTCTTTTTAAAATGGGTCCTACAAATATCATTTATAACAAAAAAAACCATATGGGTTGGCAGTAGAGAAAATTTGACATTACCACGTCAGCCATCAAATTAACATTTGACATTTATCTTTTGACATCTCCTTTGGAGATGCTCTAAGAAGTCATTTCTTATTAAAGGATGTAGACAATATTTTTGGCGAGTTAATTCAATGCTAAATAGACTTGCAGTATATATTACAACCAACTTTATAATATTTACTTCATCGCCATTATGAACGTTACTTTTGTTTTGTAGCCACATCGCATCTTACCTCTTCTGGCATTAGGGGGCATGAACCTTTAAGGCGTTGTTTTGCAGAATTCACCGAAAGCTTTCCCTTGACAATTCCACGTTTTATCATCCATTGTCTTTTGTGTTGAATGAGTTCCGTGTGTACATCCTTCGGAAGACAAACATATGAAAATCAAACGCTATGAAAGAGTTCCAAAAGAATAATATATGATGCAGTCCAGGGTCAAATGCTATGAGCCTATGAATGATTCAAAGCAAATACCTGGAAGAGTTCAGCACAACCATGATATGCCAAAGCCTCCCGGGTCATGCCAGGGTCAAATGCTATGAATGGCTGTCCAGGAGCCTTTAATCTAAAGAGGTAGAAAATATTATACGTGAAAAGCCATGCTGATGAGAAAAAATTAGATACCACACATTGAGAGAGAGAGAGAGAGAGAGAGAGAGAGAGTAAATGGATGCCGGTAGTTGACCTTTGTAAAATTTCGGTGGCAAGCTCCTGGACCTCCTGTCGGAACCTAAGGGCATGAAAAGCAACCCTACATCTCAGCCTCTGATACTCTTCAAGATCGGGTGGCAGGATAGCCTACATTACATCCAAAACAAGGTAGTAACAGATATATCATTAAACGAAGAAATATAATACTCACTTCCACGGACTCAAGTTATGAGTACAGTGCAATAGAGAGAGCAGACACTGTTACCTGCAAGCATCCACCGTCAGACACAACTAGTTCAACTACTAAATGCTTCTTCAAAATTGGAAGAACATTGTTCTTGTAGTAATATGGTGAAGCAGAGTAAGGCACTTTAAACACCGGAATGTTCTTGTTTCTCCTTTGCCCTTTAAGATTTTTGGGAAGCATCTTCACAACTTTGACGTCTTTTGACAAGGCTGCCATGAATTGGTCCTCATTGTAGAGATAGGCAAAACTTTTAAACTGAGAGCTACGTAAAACCATAAGACACAAACAGTAAGTACTGAATACATCAATTTAGGGCACGAACAAACAAAGCCGAGATTATAATGATTGTAAGGCAAACCTTATGCCCTTGCTGCTTGTGGTCGATTGGATCTCAGGAATCACTAACGTTGCATTAAGAAACCGAGAAACCACAACTACATCACATATCTGAAAAACCAATAAGATGCTGCAGCTGTAAACTTATAAGACAATTGAATACAATCGAGAACAGGCCATTAAACCATGACCCCCTTACCGAATTCCTAATCTCATGAAATCCGCCTTGTATCCTGACAAAGATAAACCCGCTGGTATCTGAATCGGGTTCTGTGACACACGAACACATTTCACTTTAGAATGATTCCATATTTGTTCACAATTCAAATAGATAAACAAACATCCTGAACACAAATTTCAAGGTTTCCATACACAAAATTTTAAACATAAAGCATATCCTTCTGGGCTAATCACGATTATAATAATACTGATCAAGTTAAACCAAGGACCCCACCGGTTGTGTTAAACCTACAATCCGACATAAAGTAAGATTTTAAACTTTCTTTTCCTTAAGAGAAAGAAGTGTTATCATCAACCTTTTTCGTAGCATTGATACTGCAGAGAAAGTCCTTAAACCGAAATAATGTCCAACATAAGCCTCCAGAAAGCATTAAACCAATATCGAAATCACTATAGCAAGATGAAAAGTAGGCTAACCGGCGTAATGTCCTCTGGGATTTGCATTCGGCTGCAAAGATTCGAGATGCCGAACCGGACCCCATAGCCTTCTATACATTGGACTCTGCACACCAAAGTAGTAGGATAGTAAAACTGATTTCAGAAAACCAACAAAATTGATACGAAAAAACATAATTGATATAAAAAACAAAAAAAAACGGATCCACACTAAATTCACACTCAAACCAAACCGATTTCAGAAAACCAACAAAACATTTTCTGTCTGAATTTCCCATAATATCGAAGACAAAAATCCCCAAAAAATCAATGTCACAAAAACAACAATGATTGCCACTTTCAGAGCAAGAACAATACTTTACCAGAAGAAAACAACAAAACAAACATAACCCAGAAACAGAAACACACTCAGGACTCAAACTCCACAAAAACATGAGAGAGAAAGAGAGAGTGAGAGGAGAGAGAGAGCAGTTAAGCAGAGCAGATGAACTTGAGAAGATGAGATCTTTGATGGGGGGGGGGGGTTAAGTGAAACGTACAGTCTTGGAAAAATTCAAGCTTTCACCAATGGCTCTTCTGGGGAAGATTGTGATGGAGGAGTGGAACTCTGAAGCAGCAGCCCCTTCTGTGAATCTGGCCAGCAGAAAGTGCACAAAGAGAGAGATTGCTGAAAGAAACAGACCAACCAGTCCAACCCATTTCATCTTTGACTTCAACACCATCTTCCCCTCCCCTTTCATTGAAACCCCACTTCAGGATCAGAACTCCAGCTGCAACCGCTTTTTGCAGAAGCACCGGGGAGAGAGAGAGAGAGAGAGAGAGAGAGAGAAGTGGTTTTGTTTGAGTGGAAGGAAAAGTCACAGAGAGGGAGCTAATGCGGCACGTGCGAGTGAGATGCACATACACACTACATGTGAGTGTTTGAGTTAAAAGGGACCAGGCATGGCATTTTAGTACATTAAATATTTGATGTTTTTAATAAATAGCTGTCCGATGGCATCCCACCTTCTGCTTCAGCGCGTGTAATCATCGCCAGACCCAATTGGGAAGAGGGCCAGAGGGCAAGAGGGCAACAGGGTGTAGGATAAGCTATGGCGAAGTGTCGGATATATCTGGTGATGGTGTATGATTGGAAAAGCAGGGTGGGATGGTGTTGGAGTTTAGTCACGTGAGGTAAAGAAAATAACATACATATAATGTGTTCATCGTTATATTATATTTTGCTCTAACAATATATTATTGTGTATGTTTTTCTCCATATAACAATGTATTATTAAACTAAAATGTCGCAGTGATATAAATTCATTATATGTAAGTTATTCTTGTTTGTAGGGTTTTTTTAGAAGTTTTGCTTGTGTGTGAGGGTGTGTGCGTGTGGTAGAATATAGATAAAAGGGTATTTGTGTGAAAAGGAAAGAAAGGAGCTTTTGGGTGGAAGGACGAGGTGGGCACAAGGAAAAGTTTAGTGGTCACCATAGATTTTTGCATCATTTTGAAATTTCAATGGGGAAGAAGAAACTGATAATGCAATGATGTGGATAAATGGTAGAGATTCTTCGATTGTATTTGTATCTTTCGTCACATAACGAGTGTATAGCTAATCAATTACACATCAAAACCGCTAAGTAGGAGTGGCATGAGGATGTGCAGGTAATGCCTAGGCGGGCCACCTTTTTATAAATATTTTATCTATGCTAATTTTTGGTAAGCTTTTGTTATGCACTTAAAACTTAAACTCCGTCTCTCTTTTTAGAGTAACTGACTTGAGTATCGGATATTTAGCCAACCCCTCCACTCACCTTGTGAGCACGTGTGTCGCTTTGGTTTTGATTAAAAGTGTTATTTGTTTTGTAGGTACAATTTCGTCAAATCTGAAAAATGGCGAAAATTTGTCACCACAATTATTGTAGATAAAAAGTTTACATATGGTACTAAAATATCATACTCAAATTTTTTTTTTTCAAAAAAGAAAAAAAAGTTTTATAAATACAAATTCAGTTGTGGAAATGGTACCTCTGAAAATGATTGATCTAGAAAAGTTTTGTCAAAGAAACGAAATAGGGAAAAAGACAATTGAACCGAAGACATTAATTAATCGATTAATAAAAGGGATTGTTCGAAGTTATGTCCTTTTCCAATAATTCTTTAAAAAAGAATTGTTCTTTTATTTAATTTCATTTCATTTTATCCCTTAAATCCAACGTACACATTTCCGACTTTATTATGTTTATTATGTTGAATTATTTCTTGGCTAAATTGGATTAATGGTTCCCGTGGTGAGAGGATAATCAGAAGATAGCTTCGTGGTGAAAAAAATCAGATTAAAACCCTCGTGGTAAACTCCATTAGAATTTAAGCTCAAAATTAACATTTTTCTCATCTGTCTGTTAACTCATTCAACTTTCGTAACCAAAAAAGAAAAAAACTCATTCATCCAAGGCTATGAATTCGTTGATCCATGCTTCGATTCCATTCAAAGATTTTTGTCCATTAATTAGTGAACTCCCTAAATATGCCCATTTGAGAAAAAAATGATTTCAAAAAAGATCTTTCAGTTGTCAGATTACAAAAGAATAATTTTCTGCTCGCAAAAAACAAAACGAAAATGAATATTACAATTATAAACAATAGGGGGACAAAATTGGCAATGAAAATCCAAAATACGTAGTGGTATTCATTTACAGGGAAATAGGTTTCTTCTGTTGGATGCGTCTATGGAGATTGAAGAAAAGATCTTTGAATGGGCATATTTAGGGAATTCACTGATTAATGGACAAAAGATCTTTGAATGGAATCGAAGCATGGATTACAGGTAAAGGTAATGAAGGAGGCTCCAGCCGTTCAAGGTAAGGCGAGCACAGGACCTGAACCTGCTCCCGCAGAAATCTGATGTATCCCATCACTTCGTGAAGCACCGATGCCGTGTCGGTCTGCAACACACCCAATTTTCCAAGTTCCCAGAAGAAGAAAAAATATTTTCGATGAATTTGCAAAAATATTGTCAAAAAATAATTAACTGGGTGGCTTGATTTGGGTTTTTGCAATTCCACCTTGCCGTAGGGTGAAACGAGCTGCTGCAGCGCTGTGATTCGTTCTCCGAGCTTCTCTTTGCTCTGTACATTTGCAGAAAACCAGAACCCATTTGGTAAAAACAGAGACGAATATTGTTCTGCTTTGAGAAATGGCAAAGAGAGAGTGCGAGAGAGAGAGAAGAGCATGCAGAGGGAGTTGTGGAGAGCGAGAGAGAGTAGCACGCAGTGACGCAGATGAGCTTACGGGGTTTTGTTTTTGTTGAAAGGTCGTACCTTTCCGTTGCCGGCCGACGTGCGATTCTCCAATTTCGTCTATTTAGCCAATCATTTTTTCTCAAATGGTAATGGAATCGAAGCATGGATCAACGAATTCAGTCTTGGATGAATGAGTTTTTTTCTCTTTTGGTTATGAAGGTTAAATAGGTTAACAGATAGACGAGGAAGATGTTAATTTTGAGAAATTCTAACGGAATTCTTCACGAGGGTTTAAATCCGAATTTTTTTACCACAAAAACTATCTTTCGATTACCCTCTCACCACGGGACCATTAATCAAATTTATCCTTATTTCTTCCATGGGGACTTGGAAATACTCATAACTCTGATACATCGACACTCAGTGAGAAGCTTATCAAGGCTTTGACTGCCTATTTGTCTTGATTTAGAATATGAGAAGAAGAGTTATTTTTCGAATGTCGTTATTGGTACTCTGAGGACCTATTTGGTATTCTATTTGAGTTTTAAAATTTTTAACTTAAAAACTATTTCTCAATTCACAACTCAAAAATTTGTTTGATGAGCTTGTTTTATGAAACGTGAACTTAAAAATAACTAAAAATCTGGCCTGAAATATGAGAACAACAAAAGTTTCTTTTTACTGTTTTTTTTTCTTCTTCTTTGTGACATCCGCAGGACCTTGGCGTTGAGGCTAGTGACACCAAACATCAATTGAGAGTAACTGGCGGTGATGAGAGATATCTTTCCGGCGATTAAGAGAAATGTTCCAACAATCGTGACATAGAGTCTTTCTGACAACAGAAATATTTTTTTCACACCATCCCCGACCCACCGTCTTCTCACTCTAATCACCCAATTTTCAATGGCAACATTTGAAATTAGCAACCCACCACCATATATGTGAACAAAACCCACCTAAAGATAACATGATTTCATAGTATGAAATGTGAAATTGAGAGTTACAAATCAAGTCGCCAAGATATTGGGTATTGGTGAGTATTTTCCGGGTCGTTTCTCGGATCCCGACCTGACCTTAGTATCCTCCCTCAACCACCACTGAACAGGCAAGTTTTTTAGTTATATAGCCTAAATCCATTAAGATTTGAAACAGTTTCTAGGTTCGATACCAAACAAGTTTTTGGGTTGTAAAAAAATTGTTATTGAGAGAAGTTCATCCAAGTGATTTTTAAGTAGTATAATTTTTTTTTAGTAGAATAACAAACAGCCTTAAAAGTTATCATTGTTACTTTTTATATTTAGAACGAAAAGTACCCTTTTAGGTCTAGAATGATCCATCACCAAGTTAGAGTTTCACACAAAAGACCTCAATAATGTTAAAAATGAACGTTATACATATAAGATGTATATATCATTTTGTTATATTTTTGGTGTGAGACTCTATTTTTCAAACAATATATGTGAGTGGGAGTGTTAAACTGTTAATTCCATTAATTAGAAAAATAAATCATCTTCTTCTTACCAGAATTAAAAAAGAGTACGAGCATCCCCAGTGAGGGCTCCATATGGGGCTGGAAATATAGCCCATTTTAGAGCTCCGATAAATCTTTGGGGCTTTATAAAAGAATCTCTCCTAATTAGGGGCTATATCTTTCGGGCTCTATACGAGGCTATATATATTTATTTATATAGTAATTTGATTAAGCGATGATTTTTTTTTTTTTTTTGTGTTAGCTTTTTTAAGTTGATTTTTTGACGTGCTATCTTAATTTATTTATTTTATTTTTTAATTTTTTTTATGAACCCTTCAACATAAAAAGTTCAAATTGTGACAAAGGTAGATTTCATCACTTATGAATCGTTCGTTGGATTATATTCCTTTATCTCAATCTCATTCGTTGAAAGAAACAAACCTCCACCTCGCCCTTTGAAATAATTTGATTTTCATGTATAACATAACAATTTACCTAGCACCAATTGGTAAATTAGTATCATACAATTTTGAAAAAAATTATTTGAAAATTTCACCGATCAATGCCTATGAACGTTATATCAATTTGAAAATTTAATTGACACACCCCTACCGAGATCAGGGCGTGCTGGCCGTCACGTGGAAGTGACGTAGCCAAGTGCACAGTGCGGAAGCTAATAAAGTAGTAATGTAAAAGTACAAATAAATAAAACTAGCATACATAAGGTCAAAGTAATAAGTGCTAGCGTACGTGAGACACAAATTCAGAGCAGAAAACCCTAAGCAGTCCAAATTAAAATAGCGTTACAACAGTGCACCCGAAGGTGAACATACGCTGGTGATCGTCTGTCAGAAATGCCGGGTAAACCCTCTGGGAAACCACCAAACCAACTGAACAGCTAGAACCTGGAGGGGCGCAAAACAAAAGCGTGAGTGGGCAAAAACAAAGCTTTTCGAAAACCATTTCAAAAACAAGATTCTAACCCTTCGCCGTAAAACCTGTATACTTCCCAGAAAATAAACATATGTACGTATATATAGATATGCCAATCATGCTCAAGAATATGCCATACCAAATCTCACGATGAAATGCAAGTGCTCAGGTGTGAATCACATCAATAACATATAACTGGCAACCGGAGTCACCTAAAGTGATCTGTACGGCTGGATCTAGAGCTCAAGTCTCAATATCAATAACTAAACCTGCCCACGAGTCGGAACCACCTAAAGTGGTCTGTACGACAGGCCTGGGTGTAATACATATAAACGCTCTAGTGCTACGATCACGTGAAGGCTGTGCGAATAATCGCGGGTCACCTATGAGTCGGAACCACCTAAAGTGGTCTGTACGACAAGACTGTGCACCTAACTTGGATCCAAGCTGAGCGTATGGTGCGGGAGGTGAACAACACGTGAAGGACTGTGCCCTACTCTGGGCGGGAGCACTAACACCGGGGGTGCATGTTATGAGCTCTCTAAGCATCTCTAATCACTATTGAATGCAAATATTAAATAACGCTTACCTGGCACTTACCTGTGCATCCACAGCACCAATATATATATATATATATATATATATATATATATATATATGAGCATAGAAAAGAATATATAATTAAACATATATGCGACTAATCATGCATAATAACCAACCATATAAAAGGAATGGCATAACTAATAAACATTTATTTAAATTTCTGGGAATTATAAGTATATAGGTATATACGGAAAACCAAAAGCACACTCACTGGTAAGTGGAAGGGTCGTAGCCCCCCTGCCTCGAGTGACCACACTCGTCCTCGGGATATGTCTCACCTATATGCGAAAATACTATAAAAACGTTAATTTTAAAGCACATAACCTTCCTTTCGTAATAACTTCTCATACATTGCTCAAATTGGACAATTGAATATACCAACGTGCTCTACACAACCTCAGGATCACACCCAAATTTTTAGAAAATTTTTCCACCGCCGCACGCGCCCCCACGCGGCGGCCAAGCGCAGGCACGTGCCTGGCACGCTGACGGCGTCAACTGACGCCGTTAGGAATATTCCGTCAATTTTGACAGATTCCGTTAACGGCGTCAGGAATATTCCGTCAGAATTGACGGAATATTCCGTCACCTTCTCCGGCGAGCCTCCGGCGCCGGAAAACTGGGAAATTTTTCAAACTTCGATATCTCGCTCGTTTTTCGTCCAAATTTCATGAAATTACCACCAAAATGAAGCTTAGACCTACTAGAATACAAATATACAACTTTTAGGGGACAAAAACCACAAAATCTCACCTGTCCAAACCACTCAACTCCGGCCAACTTCGAAACCAATGATCCCGACGTCCAATTTCTTCAAACGAACCACTCCGAGCCTCCTTGGGACCTCACCAAGCTATCTACAAGCTTCATTTCCCCTAAAACGTGAGAAATCACGTGTGCATGAATAGTACCCCAAATCGGCCATTGTGAAATCGACGTGAAAACGTTGTAGTTCTTACCTGAAAATGGTACGACTGGACTCCCACGAGCCTCACGAGTTCGAATGTGTACTTGGTTCCTTCGATCTGTGGAAGTTTGAAGGGTTTTGGTGTATGTCCGTACGTTTAGGGTGAGTGGGAAGGGGAAATGGGGCTCGGGGAAACACAGGGAAAGGGACAGGGACATGTGGGAAGTGTGGGAGTGTGTGTGTGGCTCCACACATGCCAACAAAACCCAAAGCAACCTCAACACAAAAAGAAAACGCACTAGGGGCAATTTCGTCTTTTCACGCGTACATTTTCGATATTTTCGGGACGGGCTGTCACATTAATTCTTATGAAATTTAAAACAATAATTAATTAGCCAAATTGCAAGAAAAATAAGTAAGAAAAAAGAATTAAAAATAATAAAAGAAGAGTATAAGTGTATTTGCAAGTGGAGGGAGAGTGATAGAATTTTGTTCACATGGGTTTCTACTTTTTTTGTGAGACCCATTGTTTTTTGGGGCTAGATGTAGCCTGATTTTATGTCACCTAAGAAAGAAAGTTGCTAGCTCCAGTGATGGATCTAGCCTTATTTTCTGACACATTAACGATGAAATTTCTCATTAAGGCTAGAAATGTGGTAGGTCCCCCATTGGCCATGCTCTAACAAATTGTTTAATTTCAGTTTCTAGATCTTTCTCGGAACCCACTGCCGTAAACACAACCGCCCCGCGGAAGCTATACGCCAACTCGCATCCTTCATTGCCATTGGACGTCAGGGCGCGTAGCCATCACATCCGAACCACGTGCTCCCACGTGGCGGAATCACCGCGCGCATAGTGTCACTGCCCGTAATTTAAAACGCGAGTTCAGTCACTGCGTTAAACCCCCTTTCTGGTTCTCGCGAGAGGGAATGATACGGAACTCCGAACGCGGGAGAGAGACAACGAACTGTCACAGATTCGAGGTCCGATTGATCGCGCCCGTCGATATTTTTCCGCATCCAATCTCCGCGGTCCGTCGGTCTCCGATTCCCTCTCGTCTCAGCGGCGGTGGATCTTCGGTAAGGCTTCGCGGTCCGGTTCCCAATCTCGCAGCGTCCGGTGAGTCTCATCGTTCGCTTTTTTTCTCCGTTCAGCATCAGGAGACACAATTATTTAGCAAATTTTTGCAATTTAAATATCGCGATCGGCATTTGATCTTGTGTTCGTGCTGGTACGGAAGATTCTGTGATCAATTTCTT